TTGGCGAGCGATGTTGCCATTTAACCACATGTGGAATTTAACTAGATCATTCAAGGTCGATTCAACGGCTTTTTTACGTTTCACTTGTTTATGCTTCCGATGAATATTTGGTATTTTTTGTTCAGTTTGTGCCTAGATGTGAATGCAATACCTTATGCATTTTTGTAAATCTGAAATTGTGTGATTTAGTTATTGTTTTCTGGATAAGTGAGGTAAGTTTTCAACAGTTTTATATATTTTATTATTATTATTATTATCAGCACTGTAACCGGCTCAAATCAATAGAATTGGGAAATTATGGACTTGGTAGTTACCGAAAATTTTCCAATGCGTTAGGATGGCCCATTACCTCCTAAACGCTGAGGTTTAGTAAACAAGCAATACTTACAAAAAGTTTTTGACTTTTGTTTGACGGCTCATAGCTTAAAAATGGTTTGTTTCTGCCGGGCGACCCAAAATTACAGGGTACCCCACTCTCTGTTTTTTTAAATAAGACGCCTTTAATTTTCCAATTTGATTTTCAAAACGAAAATAGTAGGTATATTACATACCGAAGTGGGACGTGTTTCATTACTGTCAAGAAATTAGTCAGTTAACTGAGACGCGAAGCGAGACAGGAATGAAACTCCACACCGAGGTTTGTATTCTACTTTATTTACAAGCATCATAATTTTTACTAGATACTAAATGAAAAAAAAAAAAAAAATAGAGGGTGGGAAGTAGAAAATAGAGGGCGGTGATGAGAAATAGAGGGCAGGAATGAAACAGGGGTTGGTAATGAGAGAGTGGGAAGTAGAGGTAGGTAAAGTGACACTTCCAAACCTTCAATCAAGTGAGTAATGCCAACATTACATGTATGGTTGTCAGTAAAATATATATTTTTTCAAATTGTCCCCCTATTTTTTTTTCTCCATAAGTTTCTCCTGTTGTAAAAGATTTTAATCTTTCTCAAACATTCCCTATACTACCTATCTCTATTACCAAGTTTTCCAGATTCTTAGAAATTTTATAGAAATTCAGAATATAATTGGCTGATTTGCTGGTCCTTCGATTTTAGTAGAGATGGAAAATTAAAATTTTGAAAGCCTGCGGTCGATCTCAACGTGTTGCAACTTCTTCCCTTAAAACAAAATTTTGCTGGTCAACCGTTTCTAAATAAAGACAAAGGCTTAACATTTTTCATGTAGATCGGTTCCATGAATAAATAAATAACTTATTCTTTTTCAATAAAATGATTATAAGTCAAAAAATTAAATTTGAAAAAAAAAACTACCTGAATATATGAGTTTAAAATATGCATGAATTGCAATTGAGTGTCGTCATAGCGTAAGCTGCGATCTAGACGCTGATATTTGGAGTAGGGTGTTTTTATAGATAATCATACAAACTGTATTTTTCCTACGAGCGTGCGGAAAAGTTACTTTTCCGCACGATTTTTCATTTGGAAAGTTGTACTTTTCCGCACGATTTTACTTTTCCGCACGATTTTACTTTTCCGCACTATTTTTTTACTTTTCCGCACGATTTTTACTTTTACTGAAAAGTGTACCCATATTAAAGTTCGGAGGCCCCCTATTTGGGGGGCGGAGCCCCGCAGTGGTCCCCGATTTGAGGGGCATAGTCCCGCAGGGGCCCCATTTTTGAAGGCTGGGCCACTTTCTGGGGGCGAAGCCCTGGGTGCCCCTTTTGGGGGGGGCGAAGCCCCTTGTGCTTCTTTTTTGGGGGGGCGGAGCCCCTTATTTGGGGGCACAGCCCCGCTGTGCCCCCTATTTTGGGTGGCATAGCCTCGCGAAGGTAGGGAATCCTAACAATTTTTTTGACCAATTTAGTTATAGGCCAAGGATCATGATAAAAAAATCCGGTTCCATTATTTTTCTGTGTATAAAAAAATCGTGCGGAAAAGTAAAATCGTGCGGAAAAGTAAAATCGTGCTGAAAAGTTACTTTTCCGCACGATTTTTTTATTGCTAAAAATGAAGATATTTAGGATCAAATAAATGATTTATGTTATATATTATTTTATATTATGTGCTATTTTGTTCCATCATTATAAAATCTTTGCGTATTGGAGCATTTTTTTTGATAAATAAGATGGACAAAAGCACTCGTAGGAAAAATATTGTACCTAACTCTTGCGGAAAATGTCTTTTCCACCATCGACGGCTTGCCCGTACTCCGCTCCGCGTCGTTCGTGCAACTGCCGTCTCGTGCGGAAAAGTACCACTTTCCGCACTTGTTAGGTGAATAACTATTTCTACGAGCGTGAGGGAAAATGCGGTGCGGCAAATTTTTTTCCGCACTGATATGTCAAAACCATTAAAAAATTTCTTATGCTTAATATGCAATATTTCGCTCGAAGAAAAACAATTGTTCCTAACACGTGCAAAAAGCTTTTTTTCCGCACTTAACTGCTTGACAGACCTTTGCAGTTTGCATGCAGTTGCGTGCGAAAAAAACGATTTTCTGCACTTGTTAAGAAAATACCTATTAAAAATTAAGGAGATTCCAATTAACAGCAAAAATAGTGAGATTTAAAAAAATATATAGGTATTCCCGGTTCAAAATGTTTTTTTTTTTCAGTTATCTCTGAACGTTTGTAGATAATGTTGACCCCGCCTAATAGGATTTCACACTTGACAATGAAAATAGCTGTTCACTATTCACAATAATCTATCTATATTTTCGTGTAAGTAATCCTTAGTTTATTTTCAGCTTCATCAAAATGGAGACGCGCTCCAGGAGAATTCTAAACTTACTGAATCTACCTAAATATGAAACCACAAAGGGCTTGCCAGTTGCTTTAAGAAACAAGGCCATAAGCCTAACGAAAGGTATATCTTTGCTATTAAAACAAAAATTACAAATCGTCAAATGATAGGCACAATCACTAGGTCGGGTTAATTTTCTCAATTTTACAGTTTCTGTTGCAAATTTTTCTCTACAAAATTGCCGGATAGATTTTTGATCCGACTCTCATTCTTTCGGAACCATCATCGGCTAGCACTGATGATATTTTTCTAGTCCGGAATGTTGGACAAGTGTTAAGTGCGATACGACGTTGAATTTGAAAAAGCAGATGATGGGGACTTAGAGATGAAATGTCAGATATTAAATGTAATTACTTAATGTAACAACAAACACAAATAGAATCAAATTTTAAAAATTTCTTTTTCAGCTCACAAGTCTGTCTCTGTCTCTTTCTCTTTCTCTTTCTCTTTCTCTTTCTCTTTCTCTTTCTCTTTCTCTTTCTCTTTCTCTGTCTCTATCTCTGTCTCTGTCTCTGTCTCTGTCTCTGTCTCTATCAAATAAAAAAATATAAAATATCTAGAGCCAAACACTACATACATACCAAATTTCATCAAAATCGGACCAGCAGTTTTTGAGTTACGCACGTTGCTAGTTACAGACAGACAGATAGACAGACAGACAACGCGACAAAAAAATTTCAAAATCATCTGAAACACAAAGCTATATAAAAAAAATTGACATCGGAGCAACTTTTTTTTTTGCACGATCACCATAGTTCACTACTATAATATAAATCCGTTTCTATTTTTTTCTAGACTTATTTGAAGATATTTTTCAAAACAAATTTAATGGCACTTCCGACTTTTCGTCTCAGAGCGCCCATCATGGACTTTATTAATTTAAATGCGGCCCTGCTTTTTAAATATTTTTTTCAGAGCCTTTCTAGTTCCTCAAAGCATTGACCTATCATACCTATGGAAAATATTAAAAGTGATAATATTGGTGATTTATTATTTCGCAGATGATAAGGCAGTCCAGATGTTAATATCGAACTTAGCTAATGATAAACGAAGGCACACGTATTTTCAGTATTTTACATACATCTCGTTAGATAAAGATGGACTTAGGGATAAAATACTGTATTTAAGAGAGATAAGTTGATTTACTTACTTCAATCCATATTTTTCAAGAAAACTGTGATGCATCGATAGGTATAATAGGTCAATGCTTTGCGGAGTTAGCTAGACTCTGAAAAAAATACTCAAAAATGCAGGGCATTTAAATTAATAAAGTTGATGATGAGCTTTGAGACAAAACGTCGGATTTAAGATGGTGTTATCTTGCAGAGGAAAATAAGTGACAATGATGAATTGCCATTTGCTTTTAAAAATCTGTACAAATAAGTCCAGAAAAAAATAAGAACGCTTTCGTAAATTTCACATTTTTTTATATCCCTGTCAACAAGTTGAAAACTGCAAATGTTATTGTTTAAATCAACACCCAACACCAGATATTTATTTCGAGATGCGCCTTTTCGTAATGTATCATAGAGCAAGTAAAAGTTGTGAAAGCTTGATGAAATACTCCGTTCTGAATATTCTTTATATTTCAGAACAATCTGTTTTCAAGGAGAAAACTTCCGTAGAAATTCCAAATGTATCAATTTCATTTAATGGGAATGAAATTCCTCCCGATCCATCAGCTGGTGCATCCCAATTTCTGCCATCTATTGAAAATGAAATTCAGATAGAAAAAGAGTCAAGTTCAAACAGAATAAGTAATGTAAATAGAATTCCTCCTGATCCATCAGCTGGTCCATCCCAATTTCTGCCAGCTATTGACAATGGAATTCAGATAGAAAAAAAGTCCAGTTCAAACAGAATAGATAATGGTATTCCTGCCGATCCAGCAGCTGGTCCATCCCATTTACTTCCAGATATTGAAAATGAAAGGCAGATAGGAAAAGAGTCAAGTTCAAATAGAATAAATGATGGTAATGGTAATCCTCCCGATCCAGCAGCTAGCTCATCCCAATTGTGGACACCTATTAAAAACAAAAATCAGACAGAAAACCCCTCAAGTCCAAACAGAATAAGTAATATAAATAGAAATCCTCCCGATCCATCAGCTGGTCCATCCCAATTGCTGCCAGCTATTGAAAATGAAAATCAGATAGAAAAACCGTCATGATCAAACAAAATAAATATTATATCGCAAGTTATATTCCAACCAGATCCTTCAACGTACTCCAAAATGTCCCCAACTAGCGATAATTTTTCGGAAGACAAAACAAGTGGAAGTGAATATTTACCATCAGAAGATGATTCTGATACATGTGACCAATCAAACAAAACAGATTTTAGGTATATCACTGAAAACATCAGGCCAGTAAGTACTAAAACTGTGCGAAAGCGAATCACAGTGAACAAAAAGAGAATCATCCGGCAAAATATTTTTACTCCACAATCCAATATAATGCCAGATTCCACAACATCTCCATGCGCGAATTTTATAGCTTCATCCCCTCCATTTAGTCTGTGTAGTTCTAGCGAGGTTAGTACTCAGCAAACGTCTTCAAACATACCTTCATCAACTTGTCATGATATAAACAGACCTTCATTAAGTTTTCATGATATGAACAGACCTTCATCAAGTTTTCATGATTTGGACGAAGGATCTGCTATTGGTGAACGAGAACGTACCATCAAAGTTATTGGAGCTACTAAAGAAAAAGGAAAATTAGTTCGCAATAAAGGCCAAGCTTGCTATTTTTGCCAACGAATAGTCCAAAACGCGGCTAGACATTTTGAGCTATTACATAAGAGGTAGCTAAATTATTAGCCAAGCCGAAATATTCAAAAGAAAGAAGAAATGGTTTCGGTAACCTTATTAGGGTGGGTAATTTCTACCACAACACCGAAGTTCTGGCTACAAAAAAAGGCAACCTAATATTAGTTCGACGTCCAACAGAAGATGAATCAAGATTTTCGACCGCAACAGACTACGGACCTTGCCCGTTTTGTTTAGGATTTATGTTGAAAAAGCACCTATGGCATCACGTAAAAAACAGTTGTACTGCTAAGCCTCAAAAAGACGATCAGAATACTGGTCGGCACGTTATTGCTGAGAGTCATGCCTTATTAAACGATGCATTTGGTAGAGATTTCTCAACTGATTTTGTTGCGAACATATTGTCCAAATTACGAGATGATGACATAGGAATATATTGCAAGGAAGATCAATTAATTCAACGATATGGTGCTATGATGTTCGAGAAATATGGAACCACACAATGCGAACTAATAAGACAAGGGATGAGACAACTCGCTCGCTTAACTTTAAAGTTGCGTGAAATTGACAAATCAAAAAGGCAATTGACAGATTTTCTTGTACCAGAAATGTTTGATCTAATAATTCAAGGAACGAAATCTCTATGTGTCACACATCAAAATATTGCACTAAGACCTGAATTTGAGTTACCGTCACTAGCATTGAAAATTGGGTACGCGTTGAAAAAATGTGCCGGAATAAAACGTGGTAGATGCTTACGAGGTGGAAATTTATCTGGCAATGAGTCATTGTTATGCTTTTTAAATCTAATGGAGTTAGAATGGAGTACCAGAGTCTCATCGAATGCTCTTGCGACTATGTATAATAAAAAAATTAATGCTGCTCAATTGTTGCCATTAACACATTGACGGACGTGTCTGCAATTGCAGACACATGTGTAGGGACAGGACTGCGATAGCAGACGATTACTAGACCACTGAAAATGCCGCGTCTGGTATAGCAGTCGCCATGCCCATAAGGAATACATAGAAGGCGTAGGCAAGTGTCCCTATACATCAAGTTTATTATCAGGGAAGTGTCCCATGAAGGCATTTGATTTGACCTTCAGACCACTGTACTACCCCCACTTACTTTCACACTTGTCGCGTCACGTCTGCGAAAGCAGTCAGTCGCCCCATAAAGTTTGTACTGTGAGGTTCTTTGTTGCGACCAAGAGTAATTCCACACGTTTCGAGTACGTTTGAAGATCCTACGAGGAATTATTATTTTTGGCAGCGGCAGTAAGTATATTTAGCTGTTTAGTTATTTATTGTTTTCAAGAACTTCACGTATTTTCACTGTAAAGTAATCATTCTTCCAGGCCGTGAAAAAAATGGACCCCAAAGAGGAAGCCAGATTACTAAGGCTTTATGATGAAGTTGAAACTGAAATAGAAGATAACAATGATGAAAACGAAATCGACAGTAATAGCGATGAAGATCCATATGCTGGATCAGATGATAGAGACTTGGATTATTCTCCGACAAATGATAGTTCTGATTCATCTGACGAGCCTAACCTCAATCTAACTCCACCAACTGCCGTAAATCCTGTCGTAAATCAAACTAATGTAACAGATGCAGAAGGTTCTAGTTCTGATGAAAGTGATGATTGGGAAGAGACTTATGATGATATACCAGACTTCCAGTTTGATCATGCTGCTTCAGGGGTAAAATTACATTTTGACCATGAACCTTTACCTCTAGAAGTTTTCAAGTCGCTTTGGACTGATGAAGTAATGGATCTGATTGTAAATTGTACAAATGGATATGGTCAGAAACTGGAAAAATCAAATCGCCCCAAACCTAAAAATTCCAGAACAACTAGCTTTGCTCTAACTACCAAAGAAGAACTTTATAAATTTATTGGAATTTCTCTATTGCAAGGACAGATTCGATTCCCAATACTGCGAAAACTTTTCTCATATGATCCATTATACTACCATCCTGTGTTTTCCTATGTTATGTCGGGACGCCGATATGAACAGCTGCTCAGATGTTTCAACTGCACCAACGACAGAGACAATACTGATAGACTCAATAAAGTAAGTGAATTATTGAAGATTTTGCTTGGTAACTATCAGAGTGCTTACACTCCCGAAGAAGCCTTGTCACTAGATGAGTCACTATTACTACATAGAGGGAGGCTGAGCTTTAGGCAATATATAAAGGGAAAAAAAGCAAAATATGGGATTAAGTTTTACGAGCTGTGCACAACAAAAGGTTATACTTGCAACATCGACATCTATAAAGGTAAACAAGCAGAAGAAGCAAATATGACAAAGTTACAGTCTCTCGTGTTCAGGCTTCTTTCACCTTTCTTAGACAAGGGACATCACGCTATCATGGACAATTATTATAACAGCGTTCCTCTAACAAACAAATTACTTGATCGGAAAACTCATACAACAGGAACCCTTAGGTCAAATCGCAGAGGAAATCCTAAAGAAATTACCACTAAAAAACTCAAGAAAGGTGAGCATAAATGGTTGCGAAAGGGCAAAGTGTATGTGTCCAAATGGAAAGATAAGCGGGAGGTATTGATGATTACCTCCAAATTTCATCCAGAAATGATTCAGGCAACTAATTCCTATAACCAAACTAAATTTAAACCAAAAGAAGTCTCTGAATATAACCTAAATATGGCAGGGGTCGACAGAAGTGACCAGTTGACGTCTTATTACAGCTGCCCACGAAAATCGATTCGCTGGTACAAGAAGGTGATGTTTCATCTGATAGATGTTACTGTTGTCAACAGCTTTCTTCTTTATCGGGAAATTACTAAATCGAAAATGAGCCTTCTTAGTTTTCGAGAGGCTGTCATAAAGGGTCTACTTGAAATTTCAGCAAATGTTAAAGATGGCCGGAAACTAGTCAAGCATGGGGCCATGAATAATCCCAGAGAATGTTCAAAACCATCCCTTATTGCACCTCAATTACCTTTACAACATATTTTGGAAAAAATTCCCTTGCCTGAAGGTTACAGCAGAAAAAGTTACTTTTTGAGATGTCGCCAATGCTCGAAAAATGGGAAAAGGGGACAGACATCATGGCGGTGTTCTGCATGCAAAGATAAGCCACCCTTATGTGTTGGAACTTGTTTTGCAAATTTTCACTCATAATATGTTTTTTCACGAATATTTTTCTATAATTTGACGTTTTATTTTTGCATTAAATGTTTTTTTTAAGGGTTTTCAAAGAAAATATACCTTGTTTATTCATGTAATAATAATTTTATAATAAAGTCTATAAAAACGTTCGCAGTTTATTCTTCATTTAGTCAACATGTGTTCTTACTACAACACGTCTGCAATAGCAGTTGTGTGTCCTAGCACATACAAATTTTCAATGTTTAGGGACATGACTGTAATAGCAGACACTCGATTTTTTGCTGTAAAAAAAATCAAAATCTCTCTTCTAGATGCTGACTAGTACTTATTTTTACCTAAAAAAAATATTTTTTACAGAAAAATAGGTGATGTTCTCAGTAGATTCAAAATGATCTAAGTGCCCGCGAATGTGTTAACAAGTGATTTGATCAAACTTAGTAGTTATTTAAATAAGGAAATGGCAAAAGAACAAATTTCTCTTACAGAATGTCTAACAGTTAAGTCATGGAGCCGACTGGCTTTTTTAACTCTAAGTAAGATAATTCTTTTTAATAAAAGAAGATCTGGGGAAGCCGCACGAATGACACTTGTTGCCTATTCGTCAAGGCCTAAATGGTCTGATCAATCTACAGAGGAGCTAAAACATTCTCTCACCGACTTTGAGAAAAAATTAGCCGACCAGCTCACATTAGTAGAAATTGTCGGTAAACGAGGTAGAAAAGTACCAGTACTTCTAACGCAGGACGTTAAATCTTCAGTGGATAAACTCATCCAGACCAGAGGTGAAGTGAACGTTTCAATTAAAAATCCTCGTTATAAGATAAATATCTATTATATTATGGTTTATTAACGATATTTTTATTTTTGAAAGGTGACAATTGTTATGCTCTAGACAACTGTTCATGAGCATGAATATATTGCAGCAAAATTTAATTTCAAGAATAAAACTTTAATTTATTAGGGACCGTCAAATTCACGGATTTAACATTAAGTGTGGAAATAACACTAAAACAGTTGCATGAATTACTCTATAAGAAACAAAGAATTTAACTTCAAAAACTACGCCTCAATTTAACTCTAACAAAAACCTTAGTGAAGTACCTACTTACAATCATTATAAGTCAAAACCATTTTCACCGAAAGTAAAGCAGCTGTAATAAAAAACGGTTATACAGTGTGTCCAAGATAAGGAAGGAAAAGCATCTGGATATAGGAAACGGTAAGAGATGCGGGTTCGTTAAATTAGCAAATTTTTATTCTCAACCGTATGTCGTTTAAAAAGCTTTGAAATTCCTAGTGATTCCGGAGATCTTTAGAAAAATCCGAAACTTTGCAAAATCTTTAAAAAATTTCCTAACTCACTTATGTACCCATTTTCTCCGTTCTATCCAATAACTTAAACACTTTTGCAATCCTATGTTTCGTCTGTGAGGGCCCATCATCAACTTAATTTTTTTTTAATATAGCCCTGTTATTTTTATGGCAAAATCTAATCCCATTTTTAATAATTCTGAATTAGATTTTGTCATAAAAATAGAGGGGACGCGGACGCCTTAAAAAAAAATAGTTGATGTTGGTCCCGGACGAGACATCGGTTTACAAAAATGTTTCCTTATTAGATAAAGCGGAAAAAGTGGCGTAAATGTGCAATTCATTTTAAAATTGGTTTAATAATAAAGCTAGAAAAAAATTGTGAATTTCAAAACCTATTAAACGACATACTGTTGAGCATAAGACTGTGCAACTTCTTTCTAATTTAACCGAAGCTTTTCCTATATCCTAATTCCATTCCATCCTCATCTTGGACACACTGTATACATACTACTCAATTTTTCAAAAAGGGTGATATCTGTTGACAACCACTTGACTACAAAGACCATTGAACCTTTGAAAAAAAAAAAAAAAAAATTGCCGATACCATGGCTATGTGGAAATAATACAATTATCTGTTTTCAGAATCTCCAGGTGCGATCAAGAAACCAAAGATCGCTCCAGCCCTAAGGAAATCCTCTGTCGTCCAGGTTGCACCAAGTAAGTAATGCTAAAAACTGATTAACTAATTTGTCATATAAGATTATATACGAATAATTATAATTTAATTCGATTTTTAGGAGAGGCAGTAGCTAAGTCAAAAACCAGTGACCGACGCCCATGGTCTTCTGAAGAAAAGGAAGCCGTTTTTCAATTTTTCAAAAGTTCAATCAAACGAGGAGTTGTACCTGGAAAAGAGGATTGTACCAAATGTATACAAGAAAGTAATGGCATATTAGCGCTACGGTCATGGACTCACGTGAAATACTGCGTAAAAAATCACCTAGATATGATGAAAAAGCAAAGATCAAAGATTTTTTAATATTTATTTTCTATCCATGCTATATTTTTATTTTGTTTTTATATATGTATTTAGGTAGGTATTAGTTTTCAAGATGAATACATACTTCTTCAAATCTAGAAGAAAAAGTTTTTACTGAGAGTAAATTTTTCGTAATAAATGTAAAAATGTAGGAAACCATATACATTTTATTATTTTTTATAAGAATAAAGAAGTTTTGTTAGATATTTGTGTATTGCATTCATTGATTGGAAAATAGTATTTTTTTATTTAATTTGGTTTGATGGTGACAGGTAGGTTGGCTGCGAATTATTTATTTTTCTACAATCGCCCTTGAAAGTAGACTTTTTCGATTAGATTTGTGATCGCAAAGTAGACGTTTCCTGATGACCTTCACTTTGCCTCTTTAGAACGTCAAACTACGTCAAAGTCCTTGCGTTTGTTGCTTTAGAGCGGAGAGCGGCAAGGTATTAAAAACACTTGCTTGTCAAATAAACTGGTTTCTTTGAACCTGGACTATTTTTCATTAAATGCGATTGTAGAAAAAATCAAATTTGAGTTACGAGCAAAGAGCGCTTTTGCCGACCTCAAGATATTTGCCTCGCGATCCGTGTCAACGATATCTTTCGATCGGCAAAGACGGTAACGTACCATTTTGCGCTCTTGTTACACAAATAGCTATTATTGCATGGCAAAATTTACTTTGTCTATTGTCTCCTCTGAAAACAATCGACAAAGTTTTTGTCGATTGGCAATCGGAAACCGACAATTTGGCTTTCACATAACAAATCACAAAATGAAATTTTGTATGTACAGGCTTGGCCAAACAAGTTGTTTTCTTATGGGAGCACACTTTATTTGAAGATCAACAGATCACCCTATATAAAAACTTTTGACATTCTCCTATTCTGCTTGAAAAGTTGCTCCAGAAATGTTTTTTCTAATTTATCTCAAAAAATAAAAAAATTACGTAGCATCGTTCGAATCGCAGAGTTTCTACAAATGCCCTCTAGAGGTCGAACAATTGCAGATAGCCCATTTTCGTGCGAGTTTTCCATAAAATTTGAGCCCCAGAAACGGAGGTCGAAAATTTTCTATCTCTTCAAATAAGATGCCGTCCCATAAGAAAACAACTTGTTTGGCCCACCTTGTACGTTGTAGGGAATCTTTTTTTTTTTCTAAATTTTCGGAGCACCTTATAAAAATATTTTATTATCATTCATAGAATTATTCATTCAAATCCAGCAAGAAAAATGGTGGTTTGATTTTCTTATAAAAAAAAATTCCTTATGTGCCTGGGGACATCCTGTACATATATTTTATTGTTATAACATTTGGTTTTGATTTGTTTTTTTTTTCAGAATTGTAATCCATCTGTGTTGACAGAGTTTTGGATTATTTAGAACTAGTTAAGAACCGTTCTGGGATGGTTCTAGAACGGTTCTATCAGTTCTTGCTCTGAAGGAGGAACTGTTTTGAAATTTTATGATTTGCAAACGACGTAGAGCTTGCAAATCACAAAATCTCAAATCAGTTCCTCCTATTGTTATCTTCAATATCAGTTAATAATTATTACATGAGCAATAATATAGAATAATATAGCAATGAGAATACGATAAATTCAAAAACTTGCAGTTTCAAGTGAACTTTCCATTTGATTGATCGAAACGTGTTGGTTTTTTTGGCACCGAATCGGTTCAGAACTAGTATTAGAAAAGTCCTCCAATATTTTTTTGTGCGCGAGCAGTTCTGCCCAATCCCAGAACTGTTCCAAATTTCGAGACAAAACAAAACCAGTGAAAACTGAAAACATTAGATATGAGTAATCTTTTACAAATTATCATCTAATTATTCAGGTGCGACGCAAGAACTCCTCTCAATCTACTGGAAGGGTCTGCCAAGTGCATTTAGCTAGTTTTTTTTTTTGCTGCATATAGGGCTTTTAAATAAATAAAGTATGTGAAGTAATTATAGTTTTGCTTGAAATTTATTAAAAATAAAACATTAAACGTTGACAAATTTGTATAAATTAGCATAAAGAGTACAAAAAAGGCATTAAATATTATTAATTAATACATTTGTGATTACAATCCGGATTTTTACAAACTTCAATTATACATTCTATTACACAGTATTTATAAAAAACATGGAACGAATTTCATCCGATATAAACACCATAATGAAAGTGTGTAACGGTAAACCACCAGGCTTTTCATTCTAATAATAAAAAATTGAAGAAATCCAAAAGTTGAGAATCGCTTTAGGTATTACTCACCCAATAATTCATATTGTAGATCTCTTTTCCTTTTGTAGTCGTTTTCCGTAAAATGAATAGAGCAGATGTTGCTTGTGCAGTTGTTCCAGGGTTGTAACTTTATCGATTTTTTTGGAACGGAATATTAATTCCTTTCTAAATACTCCGGGAAACAAGATCTTTAGAGGCACAACGTGTGCCAGGCATTTCGGATAGACTTGCACACTAAAATTCAAAAAAATAAATCGAGGAAATACTACAGAAAACCCTTAACCTACCTCTGATAGTATCGAAAGCACTTTAAGGTCAAAAAACTAATTTATAAATTTCAAAATCACCTTTTCCACATTTAAATCGTCGAAATTAATAAACTCACAAGCACAGCCTGAATTGACAAGGGCTACAGGTGACGTCATCTGTTGACCGATCGTGCCTCAAGAACTGGCGAACGTACGTCTTATGAGCTTGGGCTATCCTAGTAATGTAAGGTTCTTGGGTATGTGTCCAAATTTCCTTGTTTTTTGCTGTCTTGGGTTTTTTATGCTGTATGAATTCAAATTGGAAGGACTATACTAAAGGTAAAGGGGGTTGAGACGGAAATTTCAATGTCCTGCAGTTTCAGTTTAAATAAATTATTATTTAACCTTTAGAGGGAAGGAGGTGCGCTCATCCCTAAATCCGTCTCTCCGTGTGGAAGTAAAACTAATTAGGCCTAATGCCTTATAAACCATGAGATAGCGTACCGGTGGGACTCGGTTTTTTTTTTCTCTGACATTTTGAGGGATGAATGTAGTTCGTTAGTTGATGAAAATAGGGGTGGTTTTAATGCCTGCCTCCTGTTCAAAAATTTTTCGAATTTACGTAAAACTATCTGATTTTTTCTGATCTCAAATTGTCTGGCAAAAATGCCAGACGATTATCAATGTTCGTAAAAATGGAGGGGTGGGTCGACTTGCAAGAAAAGAGTACCTACATTAACTGTCAAATTTTTTTTACTGTCTGGCAATCGATAGAATAAAAGATTTTGTCTTGAAAATAACGCAGAAAAAATACCAGACGGTAATTGCTTTTTTTATTGCTAAATTATCTATCAATGTCAATCTGCTATTCAAATGCCAGAAAATTTAAAAAACGAAAAGTTTCATGTAAATTAAAATTGACTTTCCGAATTTTCGAACAGGAGACAGGCATTAAAACCACCCATATTTTCCTCAACTAACGAACCATATTCAGCCCTCAAAATGCCAGACAAGAAATAATTACTCCACTCAAGAGTCCCTATCTCACGGTCCATTTCCCAAACAAATCAATTGTGATGGAATATTAAACAATCTCTAAACATGTCATTTGCTTCGACTTGGCAACACTGACCTAGCACACTTTTCGGTTACTATATAATTATGACGTCTTGAATTAACACAAATCATGTATCCCAATATTAATAACAACACCTTAACACATTGTCTGTAATGTGAGTATTGTGACAATGGTGTCACAAGTGAAAAACCAATACAGATTCCTTCCTACGGTAGGTATGCGTAGAAAACAAAGTTTGCGCTGACCAGCGCAGGATGGCGCATCAGGCAGCGCAGGTCTAATTAAAAGTGCTACAATTGAGGGTTATTCATGCGTTGCCACAACTATTGCGGGGCGTGTATGTGTGTGTGTGTGTGTGTGTGTGTGTGTGTGTGTGGGCGCGCGACCAAACTTGGGGCACTAACCTAGGACCGCGGTGAAATTGGCAACATCCCACTATTGACAACGTCGCATCTTAGGTTAGGGGAACGGCTCGGCTCGGGCCCCCAGACCGATGACGTCACTCTTGGGTTAGACTCAATTTGGGGCTCACGTACAAAATGAGACCACCATATGGGAGCGGAGACCTTGAGACCCCTGGGGGCACCTGAGCCTGGGAACTTTTTCGATAGCGTGGGAAAATCTCTAGATCGGCGGCGCCTTTGATATGAAATTTCGGGGATTTGACCCGGGCCAATCCCAAATTTTTTGAGGTTTTTCCGAAATTTCAGGACCGCGGTGAAATTGGTAACATCGCACTATTGGCAACGTCGCATCTTAGGTTAGGGGAACGGCTCGGGCACCAGACCGATGACGTCACTCTTGGGTTAGACCCAATTTGGGGCTCACGTACAAAATGGGGCCACCATATGGGGCGGAGACCACCTGGGTTAGCCCCCCTTCAATTTGAGACTCCTCCGATAACGGGCGCGGGCCCCACAACGATTTGACAGTTCACTTCCGCTCTAGAACCCACTTAGTATATCTACTTACGTTTCTAAAATTCTTTAGGGGAATTTTATCATTTACTCTACATACCCTGTTTAAATTTAATGGAAAATAAAATACTCATTTTTAAGTTACAATTTTCTAATAAAAGTGGACTAGAAATTTTCCAGTATTCAGTTGCATCGTGTCTTCGATTCAAAAGATAATAAGTTTAAATAATAAGTCTAGATAATAATAAAAATAATAATAATAACAAGTGTGTATAAATATTAGTCCTAAGTATATTATTATTTGCCAGCTGCGTTTGAATTAGCCCAAATGTGTGCCAGCAACAAAATTATCATAAAAGAAAATTTAATAAGAAAAAATACCAACCAGAAAATGGAGGATGAGATTGAAAAGGCAATCAAATCAATAATGTCTCCCGATCCTAATTTCGATCAGGATCTGGAAAAAAATTTGTGCCCATCAGAAGAAAAAGCCCAAGTCGAAATTATCGACATTTCAAGTCCTGAAAGTCCTGGATGCAACACAAGAAATGCTTCAAACTCAAACAAAGATATCGAAGATATGAACGCCGCACAGTGCTGCGGTTTTGAATTCTAGCGGGACAAAACCTCAGGAGCATTTTTTGGGACCTAAATACTGTATTATAGTATTCATAAATATTTTTGTAGCCTGCTTAGACTTTTTTTTTCGTTTTTTTTTTTTTTTTTTGTTATCGAGTTAGTCTATTTGTTGAATCTACCTGGACTAAAATGAAAAACTCGTTCGTTGTTATTTTGTGTACAATGTGTTGATACAATACATGTTTTTTTTCTATAATTTCACTAAAAAAAAAAGGTAGCAGATATTTCATTGAAACGGGCAAGACGAACAAAAAATGGATTTAATTTCCTTTACATTCATTTTATTGTGGTTGAAAGAGCTACAGCAGCATGGAAAGACAAAGTGTTAGAGAACACATGATGAACCTGTTCGACGTGCATTTTAGACCAGCACTGCAAAGCCTGAGCCCAGACGCGTTGCTGATTTTTGGGCTGGATGCAATTACCAATGCAACTAACAGACAGCAGGTGCGCCAAAAAATTGCGACTTTTCTTGAAGACATAACAAATTCAGAAGCAGTTGGGGTCCTGAGTCAAGGAACGCAAGAAAGGACACCACGACAAAATAATAGAGGAATAATTAAATGATTGCAATAATAATAATTGTAAAAATTCTGTATTTTGATTGTCTTGACTATAAAAACTATTAAAAATTATTATAGTAACTCTACCCATTCCAATAAACCAATAAAATTTTCAATAGTATTCATTCATTTTTAACTGAAAAACTGAGCTGATATAGTGTAGGCTATCTGTTGACCATTTGTTTTTAATTTGGTATTGTATTGTGGATAGGAGCTAACACGATCAGCTTGATCAAGTGTTAAAAATGTATGAAAAAGCTTCGAAGAAAAAAGTGAAAAAAACATACATTATCATCATAGTTTTTGACATTTACACATGCATGTTTTTTCACAATTTGGTTAGGTAGTCTAATGAAAGATGAGCCCGCACCATTCCCACTTTCAAATTTATTTATATTAATTTCTAGATATACTATTTTATGTATAGCCCAACCAGAGTCCCTTTCCTGAAATTTCCCAACATCGAAATGAGAAAGATTTTGTTTAATCGGCTCCAAAAACTCCACACAAACACACTCCACCCCCCCACACACTCCACAATAAAGCTAGTTAAAAATAGAAAAATCTTCCTGAATTGAATTTGTGGAAGTCATCAATGAGGTGGAAACAACGAGGGATTCTATATCATTTTTTGAAACTGAAATTAAACTATCAAAAAACACACCAGAAAAGACTCAATTTCGTTTCAGATTCTTTCATCAGATAATTCATTGGTTGATATATGGTATATCTTGTTACTTCAACACATCTTTAGGGTCGCGAAATTTGCACAATCGCTGTGGATTCTTTTCCGCTGGATAGAGAGCAGACACTATGGCTCATGCAAAATAGCCCAATGTAGAGGGGTATCATTCCAATTTTCCATTCCATAATTTCACGTGTGAAATCTGCAACATCATGGAATTTTTATTTTTTCAAAGCTCCTCCCCCACTGCGGGAACTAAGGAGCAAAATACTTAGGAATCTTGATAAATTACACTCTAGATTTTCATAATAAATGTTTTTCAAATTGTTGATATTTTTATTATACCCCTTTATCCTGAATTCCGAGCCTAAACTTATAAAATTGAAATTTCAAACTCCGTTTGACTTTCTCTATTATGTTGTCGAGCGCTCCTTCAAAACAACCTGATGTCTCTGCTACTGGAAATCAAGTTTTACGATGAGGTAAGTGTTTTTTCTATTAAATCAAAAAAATCATTACAAGTGTGTATAATTTTCTAAAATCAATCTGCGCTACTGATTATAAAACTAATAATTAAATGTGATAATTAAACTGCACGTCACTGTATAATAAATTAAAGTTGAACTGCATAAACAACGATAAAACTAAATAATAAAATCATAAGCACCAAGCGGAAGTTTGCGGTTTCCAATACTGCATATTTAATAATTAAGCGCCAATTTTTATCACATTTCCTAAACCGAAAGTTTCCGTTAAAGATAATTAACTTATTTTTCCATAAACCCCAGCGGATGTTTTTTGAAAGTTGTTCATTAATTGCTAGCCTTTCGCCCCATGCACTGCTTTTTTTCAACTCACGATTTTTCTTTTACTCAACCAACACACCTAATTTTCGCGCCCTAATTCAATTTCGGATGCTTTCACAAGTAGTGTCTATTGTGTGCGTTGTTGAACTCGTGATTTGTGGATTCCTAAGTGCCCTAATTTTTTCGCTTCGATTCAAATTCGAGTGTTTTTGTAAGTGTCCTCCTCCTATTTGAAAGAGTAAGTTTTTCACAGATTTTTTCATCATGCTAAATCGCTGTGATTATTGTTCACGACTTTTTCAATTTTTACTTTTCCCCGATTCTCATGACTGTTGTGGTCTAGGCTATGTGTATAACGACGATCTTGTTACAACTATTTCACATTTACAAATCGAATTTCCTACTGATTTTTATTTTTTCTTAGTGGAAAGAATCAATAAACTAAAATGTCCTCAAACTTTGTTTATACCACCAAATCGTGAACAGGATGCACAACCCTTTTTTCTTTACATATGTAAAAACTGTCTGAGTATTCTTGAACAGATGCAAATTTCCCATACTTAAACCTGGGAGAAAAGTAAGGTTTATTGAACATAGGTTTTCGGCTTCTCCTTTTATTCAGATTATTTATCAAATGTACCTACACACTCACTGAATTTTTTTCTAGCAGAAAAATTGTGAAAATGTGGAACTTGTCTTTTTTATTATCGTTTCAAATAGAGCACTGAAAAAATAATCAGTATAGCTCTAAGGCAGGTACTACAGTCTTGTTTTGTAATAACATCTAGGTGAATTTTATTGAAGTCTCATCTTTTGTGACAAAAAAACGTTTCACAATCTACTTATAGGATAGATTTTGCTAATTATAATTTTGGCATAAAAGATTTTCTTTTTTGATTTTTGCCTTCGCCAGAAAAGTATGTCTTATATTATAGTAATAAATTGAGGCTGATATTTCTATTATTACAAGTTTAAACCCCCAAATCAACCACCTGTACAATTACTTATGAATAGCGAAATGTTGCGAAATTATAGAATTGAAACTAAATAAATAATTCTAAATTATAAATTAAATAAAAGGAATGGGCAGTTCTAGAGTGTGGTTTATGTGTGCTAAACTTTTTAGATGGATATTGTCATGTACCTCGTTAATAGCCCTAACAATCTGCTCCTTCAACTCGAGTGTACGAGCTTATATAGAGTATGCTATCTGTTGACCATTTGTATTTAATTTGGTATTGTATTGTGGATAGGAGCTAACACGATCAGCTTGATCAAGTGTTAAAAATGTATGAAAAAGCTGCGAAGAAAAAAGTGAAAAAAACATACATTATCATCATAGTTTTTGACATTTACACATGCATGTTTTATCACCATTTGGTTAGGTAGTCTAATGAAAGATGAGCCCGCACCATTCCCACTTTCAAATTTATTTATATTAATTTCTAGATATACTATTTTATGTATAGCCCAACCAGAGTCCCTTTCCTGAAATTTCCCAACATCGAAATGAGAAAGATTTTGTTTAATCGGCTCCAAAAACTCCACACAAACACACTCCACCCCCCCACACACTCCACAATAAAGCTAGTTAAAAATAGAAAAATCTTCCTGAATTGAATTTGTGGAAGTCATCAATGAGGTGGAAACAACGAGGGATTCTATATCATTTTTTGAAACTGAAATTAAACTATCAAAAAACACCAGAAAAGACTCAATTTCGTTTCAGATTCTTTCATCAGATAATTCATTGGTTGATATATGGTATATCTTGTTACTTCAACACATCTTTAGGGTCGCGAAATTTGCACAATCGCTGTGGATTCTTTTCCGCTGGATAGAGAGCAGACACTATGGCTCATGCAAAATAGCCCAATGTAGAGGGGTATCATTCCAAGTTTTAGTCGCTTCTCTTGGATAAATCGCATTGGTTACAATAATACCGCTGGGGGATAATATCATGTGCCTCGTTAATAGCCCTAACAATCTGCTCCTTCAACTCGAGTGTGCGAGCTGATATAGTGTAGGCTATCTGTTGACCATTTGTATTTAATTTGGTATTGTATTGTGGATAGGAGCTAACACGATCAGCTTGATCAAGTGTTAAAAATGTATGAAAAAGCTGCGAAGAAAAAAGTGAAAAAAACATACATTATCATCATAGTTTTTGACATTTACACATGCATGTTTTATCACAATTTGGTTAGGTAGTCTAATGAAAGATGAGCCCGCACCATTCCCACTTTCAAATTTATTTATATTAATTTCTAGATATACTATTTTATGTATAGCCCAACCAGAGTCCCTTTCCTGAAATTTCCCAACATCGAAATGAGAAAGATTTTGTTTAATCGGCTCCAAAAACTCCACACAAACACACTCCACCCCCCACACACTCCACAATAAAGCTAGTTAAAAATAGAAAAATCTTCCTGAATTGAATTTGTGGAAGTCATCAATGAGGTGGAAACAACGAGGGATTCTATATCATTTTTTGAAACTGAAATTAAACTATCAAAAAACACACCAGAAAAGACTCAATTTCGTTTCAGATTCTTTCATCAGATAATTCATTGGTTGATATATGGTATATCTTGTTACTTCAACACATCTTTAGGGTCGCGAAATTTGCACAATCGCTGTGGATTCTTTTCCGCTGGATAGAGAGCAGACACTATGGCTCATGCAAAATAGCCCAATGTAGAGGGGTATCATTCCAAGTTTTAGTCGCTTCTCTTGGATAAATCGCATTGGTTACAATAATACCGCTGGGGGATAATATCATGTGCCTCGTTAATAGCCCTAACAATCTGCTCCTTCAACTCGAGTGTGCGAGCTGATATAGTGTAGGCTATCTGTTGACCATTTGTATTTAATTTGGTATTGTATTGTGGATAGGAGCTAACACGATCAGCTTGATCAA